CCACACCCAAAAAAGCCTATGAAAGGTACCAGGGGCATCTCATGGGGCCCCCTACTGACCCCCGGGCCCTCGGGCAGTGCCCGAGTTCCCCAATGGTCAGTCCGCCCCCTGGTCACCACTGTAAGGAGACATTTCCAGGGGCTTAAAGTCTCCTTATATACAACAAGTTAGACTATAAGGAGACTTTAAGCCTCTGTACAAAAGATGGGTCAGAGCCTCATAAGATCCCAGTACTGCTTCCTCTAAGGACACTGCAGCATCGCCCTGTGGTATAGTTGACCAGCGATGAGCAAAAACCAACTGCCTGGCCAGGAAGTATTTATAGAAATTTGGCACCGCCAGTCCTCCCTCCTGCCATGGCTGCTGTAGAATTGCCAATTTGATGCGAGGATTCCCGCCATGCCACAAGAAGGAAGAGATGAGTCTATGGACTTCAAGACTGATCTGGGGAATTTCTAAAAATATAGAGAAATAATGGGAGAATTTTCATTCTCACTAAGTTTATTTTCTCTATTAGTGTGGGAGATTTCCCCAGGCATTCAGTCTATTTGGGGTTTAAGTTGGGTGGGAAGTGGAGAGACAATTAGGGGAATGTAATTAGTGACTGAATTTGTTATGACCAGCCCTAGGTCTTTTATTTGTGTCACCACCAGTGGCGGACTGACAACTCATGGGGCCCCCGGGCAATAGGGGATCATGGGGCCCCTGTGTCCTTGCACCAACACTCAAAAAAAGCCTATGAAAGGTACCAGGGGCATCTCATGGGGCCCCCTACTGACCCCGGGCCCTCGGGCAGTGCCCGAGTTCCCCAATGGTTAGTCCACCCCTGGTCACCACTGTAAGGAGACATTTCCAGAGGGTAAATGAGAGCATAGTGGGAGAATTTTGGTCTTAGGCCAGATCACTTTTAGACCAGAGAATTTAGAAAACTTGCCCATAATGGACACCTGTAGGGAAGGACCTGCATCCCACAAAAAAGGACTAACTCATCAGCATAAAGAACAGTAATTTCCAAAAGGCTGCCCACTTTAACACCTTGCAAGGCACTAGAGGAGCGTAAGGTGGTGGCAAGTGGTTCCATCATGAGTGCAAAAAGCCCCGGAGAGAGGGGGCACCCCTGTCCAGTACCCCTAGACACTGAGAAGGAGCCAGATACCTGCCCATTAACGTTAATGGCTGCCACTGGGTGATAACACAGCAGGGATATCCACTTAAGGAAGGATCGGCCAATGCCCAATCGCCTCAATACATGCCGTATATAAAATAAATGCAGCGCTAAAAAACAAAAGAATCTTATATAGGTAAATGATGTGGAAGCGCTGATATGAGCGCAACAGTAAGTGCAGTGAGATCTGCCATACAGAACACAGAACTGGATGAAGCACAGATCTGTTTTGGACACAGGAGAACTATGCTGCATGATTACCAAGATAAAGCCCTTGGATTGCTCTTCCTCTGTTGAGAGATCTCACTCTTCCTGGAGCATTTTTTGTTAAGCTTGATCATTGCGAGCCTCATAAGGTGGAGCCATTTGGGAACGTCAGCCAGTATTTAAGTGCTGCCCAGGGGCGGACTGACCATTTGGAAACTCGGGCACTGCCCGAGGGCCCGGGGTCAGTAGGGGGCCCCATGAGATGCCCCTGGTACCTTTTTCATAGGCTTTTTTGAGTTTGGGCAAGGACACAGGGGCCCCATGATCCCCTATTGCCCGGGGGCCCCATGAGTTGTCAGTCTGCCCCTGGTGCTGTCTGATGAGTCTGTTAGCGGAGTGTGACCCCCGAGTGTGAGCCATCATCTTGAGTGTCCACTGCTGAGCCTGATGACCATACAGCCCTAGACCAGACCCCGATGACCCCACCATTAAGGGTATACATATAAGGCGCATACTATATGTACTTCTGGTAAGTGCATCACTTTACCAGATTCTGGCACGGATATTGCAAGTCATGAAGCACGGATTACCACATTTTATGGACATATCATCTTATGATTGGATTTTCTAGCACTGTCACATTGATATAATTTCATCACCCATAGACAGGATCTCACTGCACTTACTGTTGCGCTCATATCAGCGCTTCCACATCATTTGCCTATATAAGATTCTTTTGTTTTTTAGCGCTGCATATCTATCTATTTGCTATTTTGAGGTGTTGAGGATTTGCCTTTATATGCTAGCTGCTCTTTTTAGGGATTATTACATTGCGCTCACATTATCTCTTTATACATACTGTGCCTCATATAAGTCTGATCAATAGAATCAAAAGCCTTTTGAAGGTCTAAAAACGCCCCACTAGAGACATTTGACTTAAGCTGGGTGTGGGTGTAAAGCAGGGGTGGACTGACAACTCATGGGGCCCCTGTGTCCTTGCCCAAACTCAAAAAAAACCTATGAAAAAGGTAGGTATCTCATGGGGCCCCCTACTGACCACGGGCCTTCGGGAAGTGCCCGAGTTTCCAAATGGTCAGTCCACCCCTGGTGTAAACCCTTTGTAGGTTAATATCAGTTGCCTTTTGGGGCCTAAAACCAGTCTGATCTGGTGAGATTAAATAGCGCAGCACTTTAGTACGTCTGGTGGATATCATCTTTGAAGTCCATATTTAAAAGTGAAATGGGGCAATAGGAACAGAAGTAAAGGGGATCTTTGTCAGGCTTTGTCAACAACACCGTATGGGCTTCATAGAATGAGGGAGTAAGGCCCCAGCCTCAAGACATTCACGATAGAGCTGCAATAGCCAAGTTGTAAGCAATTCAGAGTATTGTTTGTACCACTCGTTTGGGATTTCATCAAGACCAGGTTGCTTGCCATCGGGAAAGAGTCAATGGCAGCAATCAGTTCTTTATCTGAGAAAGGGGCTTCCAATCCAAGGATGGTTCCTATTTAGGGAAAGTACCCCATTTCCTACCACAAGTAGGAAAGGAGGACCACATGGGGATGCTGGGATAATTACTATTGTAAGACTAAAGAACTCTTAAACTTAGAATTTAGACTCCGAACATTACAAGACAGAATCTTTCATATGATCAGTGATAAGAAACACTATCGGGGGCAGTGGGGGGTGATGCAGAAAAGGATTCGGAGAACCACACAAAACTGGTCACAGACACCATATACAATAGTAGTGGGGGGGGGGGGGGGTGGCAGGGATGCAGAGAAGGATTCAGACAACCACACAAAACTGGTCACACACACCATATACAATAGTAGTGGGGGGGGGGGGGGGGGGGGCAGGGATGCAGAAAAGGATTCTGAAAACCACACAAAACTAGTCACAGACACCATATACAATAGTAGTAGGGGCGGCAGGGATGCAGAAAAGGATTCTGAAAACCACACAAAACTAGTCACGGACACCATATACAATAGTAGTGGGGGCGGCAGTGATGCTGAAAAGGACACTGAGAACCACACAAAACCAGTCACGGACACCATATACAATAGAATTGGGGGGGGCAGGGATGCAGAAAAGGTCTCTGAGAACTACACAAAACTGGTCACGGACACCATATACAATAGTATTCGGGGGGGCAGGGATGCAGAAAAGGATTCAGAGAATAACACACAACTGGTCACACACACCATATACAATAGTAATGCAATATGTGAGGCAAAACAATAACCGCAGACCAAAGCGGGCAAAAGAGGAACACACCCATTACAGCAAGATACAACAAACAAAAAAAAAAAGAAGAACAAAAATAAAACCAAGTTCCCTGTTCACCCTGGCAAAAAAAAGGGGAAGAGTCCAAAACCTGCCATAGAAACCTTAGGCCCCGAACTAGAAAAAAAACAGGTGCAAAGTCTACAATTGGTCCATCCACTCCGATGACTGGGAAAAAACATACAGTATAGGCATTGTACCATATCGCATAGGGCAGCTATGCATTAAGAAATAACACTGAAGCAGGGGCAGACTGACCATTTGGAAACTCGGGCACTGCCCAAGGGCCCGGGGTCAGTAGGGGGCCCCATGAGATGCCCCTGGTACCTTTTTCATAGACTTTTTGAGTTTGGGCAAGCACAGGGGCCCCATGATCCCCTATTGCCCGGGGGCCCCATGAGTTGTCAGTCCGCCCCTGCACTGAAGATGCAAACAGGTTAAAAATGTCTCAAACAAGCCCTTTGCAGGAGAACAAAAAGTTCCAAGGTGAATGGGGGTACTCTCAGCCGAAAGTTGGAATCACAGGACAAAGTGCCACATTCTCATCTCAGGCGATGGAGTCCAACCAGTCCACAGCATCAGAGGGGGATTAAAAAAACTTGGGCTGAACCCTCAACCTACTGGGGTATAGCATGCTGTAGGTAAGGCCTTTTCCCTGAGCCATTTGTGGATACCCACAAAAGAACGCCTTTTCTTTTGGAGTTCAGGAGAAAAGTCCGGATAAAGATGGACGGCTTTTTTTATGGCAGCTGCATTGCCAATATTTAATGGCACCCACCTTTAAGCCTGAAAAAGGTACAGGAACGTCTTTGGTGTTTTTGTTGTGCGTGGTGAATGGCTGCCCTATGCGTGTTGTGCGACGACGAGTAAGAAGCATGAAAGCATGCAAAAACACGTTCCCCCTACGCTAGATGTGAATGGAGCCTAGACTAAGTTCATACCTTTGTGTGTAATGAACACATGCAAAATCACACACACATGACATGGTCATGGAAACGTCATGGTTTGGCATGATTTTGGACTTTTTTTCCGCGTTTCTTGCACGTAGGGCAGCCCATCGAAATGAATGGCCTGCCCTACACGCACCACAGGGGAACATGCCCATGCTCCTTGCTGTAGGTGTGAACCAAGCCTAAGGGCTTGTGTTGATGGCATCAGTTTGAGAAGCTTCAGAGATCAGTTGGAATTCATTGACAGGTGCTTTTGACCTGAGTTGACCTCCTTCTGACTTGCAATTGAAGCAGGTTTTTATGTCCCATTGACTTGCACCGGAATGCAAAACCCATTTGAAGCAAGCAAAACCGCATCCCACAAACCCTAAATATGATTTCTACTCACATCACAATCCGATCTGCTAGGCTCGCTGCTCTCGTCCTTCTCTTGTCTTTCATTTGAATTGTCATTGCCGTCCTCCGTGTTCTCGGTTTCCTCTTTAGTGATGATGAGTCTGTGACGTTTGTGTCCAATGTGGCCTCTTCTTTGCTGGGGTCCTCCTCCACCGTGCTGGCTGATCCCTCGTCAATCTGTGTCTCTTTCTCTGTCTTTCCTGGGTCTTCCTGGGGGCACTCAGATGACTTTTCTGCTGGGTCAGATGACTTTTCTGCTGGGTCAGATGACTTCTCCGCTGGGTCAGATGACTTCTCGCTGGGTCATGTGACGCCGTGTCTGTCTCGCACGCTGATTCTGTCTGTTGGGTTTCATCTTTATCTTTTGGACTCCCAGTACCTTTCTCTTCCACCTTATCCCCGTTTTCTTTAGGCGCGGTGCTCATGATATCGATATCAAAGTCCATGTCACTTTGGGATTTTCTAAACCTTCGGCTTGGGGGTCTTCTCTTTAAGGAGCCTCTAGTACGAACCTGTTGGGAAAGATATTTATGACACAATATTAGCAATGTAGAGTCATGTAAAAGCAAACTCTAGGTAATTATTTTTGTTCTAGATACAGTGAGGAACGGTTAGAGATGAAGTTTAGTTAAAAAACATAAATTTCTCTACAGCTTTACCTGTAATGAAGTATGTCCCACAATATGCAGGCTGTTGGATTCTGTAGAAATCTTCACTGCAGGGCTTGCCCTGTCCTCTTCCTGCTGCTGAAGTTCCAGCAATGTGGGGGTTAATAACTTAAGGTCTCAGCTGCACGATTCAATGGGGACAGGCCACCTCCTGCTCTCAATCTAATGATAAAAGTTCCTCATTGGTTGTAACACAATCTGTGAATGGAGGAGAGAGTCATTGACTGATCAGACTCTCCCCTATTCACAGATCAAGTAATCAGTAAATGAACTTTTCTACTAGGAGAAGACAGGAGGGGGCATATCCATCTTTATTTCAGCTGAGCCTGGACATCTGAAGCTGTTAACACCCACAGTGCCAGAGGTTCAGCAGAAGGAAGAGGACAGGGCAGCCCTGCAGGGAAGATTTCTGGAGAATCCAGTAGTCTGCTCATCATGGGTCGTACTTCATTACAGGAAAGTAATGCAAGTTTTTTTTAACTAAATGTAGCACCCCTTTAGTTAGCTAGGAGGAGCTGGCTAGTTTTTCTAGATAGAAAGGCTAAGTAGCAGCCTGGGCATGAGTCAGCTGGGTCAAATTTAGGTCAAGGCTGAGGGCTTTGCAGGTCAGTTCCTTGATACCTCTACCTGATATAGAGACTTGGAGAAGTCTCTAGAACTCAGTGGGTGGGGGTGAGGAGGGGCTGGCTTGCACACTTAAGGGACTCTGGCCGATCCTCAAGCAGGAGACATGGCATGCTGGCAGGGCAGCCTGTAAGTGTGACAGAGCCTGCTCAGCAGCAGGAGAGTTTGGGTGGAAGATGTAGGAGATGCAGGAGCCTGGGAGGGAGCCCAGTGGGAAGGGGCCCACCTACAGGCTGGGACCTGGAAATGTTAGAAGCCACCAATAGTCTGTGCTTTTGCTTTTTGGGCCTAGTATCCTACTCCTGAGTGTGGCGTTATAGCCCAAGGATCAGAGATTCAAGATCTCAGCTGCATCCTCCAATGAACAGAACCGAAAGACATTCAACAGCCCTACTGCAATACACAGCTCAAATTTTGGCCGCTGAAACTCAAGCCGTAGGTGCCCCTGTCGACACAGCTTGCCTTGACAAAAGTTAAATGAACAACAGACTGTTGTCAAGAGAGATCGGTGGAAATTGACAGCCAAACAGTGCCTACATCCAATCAGCCACGAGCGCCAGCTGTCAGAATACAAAATCCCACAGCATGAGATTCATCCATTTGTGCTGTTTAGGATGGATAAATTTGTTAGATGTCTTTCAATCAGCATGCAAGCTGATTATACACACACACACACACACACAAAGCATACACATACACACATATATATATATGAATTTGGGGGTTCTAAGTAATTTTCTTGAAAAATGCTGATTTTTACATATATGTGAGAAATATCAGAATTGGGAAGTAATTATAAACCACCTTAAAGTTTTCCTAAACCCAGGACCCTGCATTCCCTATATCTGGTCTCCCCGGACCCAACATTCACTATATCTGGTCTCCCCGGACCCTGCATTCACTATATCCGGTCTCCCCGGACCCTGCATTCACTATATCTGGTCTCCCCGGACCCTGCATTCACTATATCTGGTCTCCCCAGACCCTGCATTCACTATATCTGGTCTCCCCGGACCCTGCATTCACTATATCTGGTCTCCCCGGACCCTGCATTCACTATATCTGGTCTCCCCAGACCCTGCATTCACTATATCTGGTCTCCCCGGACCCTGCATTCACTATATCTGGTCTCCCTGGACCCTGCATTCACTATATCTGGTCTCCCCGGACCCTGCATTCACTATATCTGGTCTCCCTGGACCCTGCATTCACTATATCTGGTCTCCCCGGACCCTGCATTCACTATATCTGGTCTCCCTGGACCCTGCATTCACTATATCTGGTCTCCCCGGACCCTGCATTCATTATATCTGGTCTCCCAGGACCCAACATTCACTATATCTGGTCTCCCTGGACCCTGCATTCACTATATCTGATCTCCCAGGACCCTGCATTCACTATATCTGGTCTCCCCAGACCCTGCATTCATTATATCTGGTCTCCCGGACCCAACATTCATTATATCTGGTCTCCCCGGACCCAACATTCATTATATCTGGTCTCCCCGGACCCTGCATTCACTATATCTGGTCTCCCCGGACCCTGCATTCACTATATCTGGTCTCCCCAGACCCTGCATTTGCTATATCTGGTCTCCCCGGACCCTGCATTCACTATATCTGGTCTCCCTGGACCCTGCATTCACTATATCTGGTCTCCCCGGACCCTGCATTCACTATATCTGGTCTCCCTGGACCCTGCATTCACTATATCTGGTCTCCCCGGACCCTGCATTCATTATATCTGGTCTCCCAGGACCCTGCATTCACTATATCTGGTCTCCCTGGACCCTGCATTCACTATATCTGGTCTCCCAGGACCCTGCATTCACTATATCTGGTCTCCCCAGACCCTGCATTCATTATATCCGGACCCAACATTCATTATATCTGGTCTCCCCGGACCCAACATTCATTATATATCTGGTCTCCCCGGACCCTGCATTCACTATATCTGGTCCCCGGACCCGGCATTCACTATATCTGGTCTCCCCGGACCCTGCATTCACTATATCTGGTCTCCCCGGACCCTGCATTCACTATATCTGGTCTCCCCGGACCCTGCATTCACTATATCTGGTCTCCCCGGACCCTGCATCTACTATATCTGGTCTCCCCGGACTCTGCATTCACTATATTTGGTCTCCCCGGACCTGCATTCACTATATTTGGTCTCCCCGGACCCTGCATCTACTATATCTGGTCTCCCCGGACCCTGTATTCACTATATCTGGTCTCCCTGGACCCTGCGTTCACTATATCTGGTCTCCGGACCCTGCAGTCACTATATCTGGTCTCCCCAGACCCTACATTCACTATATCAGGTCTTCACGGACCCTGCATTCATTATATCTGGTCTCCCCGGACCCTGCATTCACTATATCCGGTCTCCCCGGACCCTGCATTTACTATATCTGGTCTCCCCAGACGCTGCATTCACTATATCTGGTCTCCCCGGACCCTGCATTCACTATATCTGGTCTCCCCGGACCCTGCATTCACTATATCTGGTCTCCCCGGACCCTGCATTCACTATATCGGTCTCCCTGGACCCTGCATTCACTATATCCGGTCTCCCCGGACCCTGAATTCACTATATCTGGTCTCCCCGGACCCTGCATTCACTACATCCTGTCTCCCCGGACCCTGCATTCACTATATCTGGTCTCCCACAGTACACACAACATGGAAATGCAATTATTTTAGTAAATATAAACTGCTAAATGTAAATAGTAGAAAATAGTGGTGTGGAGCCTCTTGCTGACGTCACGCCGCCACCACTACCGAAGGACGGAGTGACAACCATCGTGGTATTTTCTTTTTACATTTTATGATTGTCTCCACGTGGATTATTTTATATTTAATATATGCAATAAATTACTACACTATATATAACTCTGCGGTGAGCTGTTTTCTTCAGGACAAAGGCTTCTTTTCGTCCAGAGACCTAGATGACAGTCCATCCTAACCTCTTGGCTGCCCCCTACCTGTCATGCCTGAAATGCCTGTTACCAGTTTCATTCTGGTGAGTGTACATCTATTAGAGGTGGCAGATTCTCCTGCGTGATGATGATCACATTCACACCCAGCACTTTACTTCGCTGCACCCTATTGTTTAACAGACATTTATGTGAATCACATCCAATCACGGACATTATTAGTTTTATCATCCGTATAATTCTGTAATCATTTTGTATCTGTATTGCATATGATATTACGCATTACTACGGACATCATCACATTACCTATTTATGAGGCACTTTATGTTTGTATGTATTGAAGTATATTCTCTTGACGGTTTTTGCACTCTTATATGATGCACTTTGCTGTTCCACATTATCCATGCAGTTTTTGATGCATTTACTGTTCCATTTAATCACGTGATTTACTGCACTCTCATTCGATGCACTTTATTGTTCTGTTTTGGCACATATAGTTTATGATGCATTATACAGTTCTGTTTTATTTTTATCGTTTTCTTGCTAGCGATATATCTTTTATGTGAAGCACTTTACTGTTCCACTTTATTTATTAGTATTTTGAGCACTTCACTTGCTTACTATATCTGGTCTCCCAGGACCCTACAGTCACTATATCCGGTCTCCCCGGACCCTGCATTCACTATATCCGGTCTCCCCGGACCCTGCATTCACTATATCCGGTCTCCCCGGACCCTGCATTCACTATATCTGGTCTCCCCGGACCCTGCATTCACTATATCGGTCTCCCCGGACCCTGCATTCACTATATCCCGGTCTCCCCGGACCCTGATCCACTATATCTGGTCCTGACCCTGCATTCACTATATCTGGTCTCCCCAGACCCTGCATTCACTATATCTGGTCTCCCCGGACCCTGCATTCATTATATCTGGTTCCCAGGACCCACATTATATCTGGTCTCCCTGGACCCTGCATTCACTATATCTGGTCTCCCGGACCCTGCATTCACTATATCTGGTTCCCCGGACCCACTATATCTGGTCTCCCCGGACCCTGCATTCACTATATCTGGTCTCCCCGGACCCTACATTCACTATATCTGGTCTCCCCGCACCCTGCATTCACTATATCTAGTCTCCCCGGACCCTGCATTCACTATATCTGGTCTCCCATGACTCTACATTCACTATATCTGATCTCCCCGGACCCTGCATTCACTATATCCGGTCTCCCCGGACCCTGCATTCACTATATCTGGTCTCCCAGGACCCTGCATCACTATATCTGGTCTATATCACGGTCTCCCTGGACCCTGCATTCACTATATCTGGTCTCCCATGACCCTGCATTCACTATATCTGGTCTCCCCGGACCCTACATTCACTATATCTGGTCTCCCACAGTACACAGATCATGGAAGTGCAATTATTTTATTAAATATAAACTGCTAAATCCCTTTTCTCATCAGAAGTTAGAGCAGACTTGTGACTTCTATCAGTGCCCAGCAGAGTACTGGTTAAAGCTTGTAGGAGAAGTTTTCTTTCTGCTCTAGGAGGATGCAGAACCCCTGACCTCTGTCTGGACAGTGCTGCTTGGCCCTGTGCTAATCACGTGCATTCTCCCAAGGAAAAAAAAAACCCTCTCTAGCAACACACACCAAACTGAGCACTTGCAGAGTGACTCCAGACCTCTGTTCTATCAGGAAATATGGTGTGGACATTTGAACAAAACAAGGGGCCGAGAAGACAGGATCAAGATCAAACAGCTTTTTTACACAATGCAGAGCATTAACCCCTTAGGTCCCACAGTGAGTATAACAAGCATGCTTTACTGCATCTACAGACTGATTGTACTGTTGTGGGTTTAGTAACACTTTAATCTCAGCCGCCTGATTGACTCCAATGCATTTAGCCTAAATAGTGACATTTCAACCAAATCTCCAGAATTTTGGAGAATTGACTAGTTTGGATTTTGCTCATCCCTACTCCTAGTCCCCAACCAGACACTGAAGAAGGGGCATCTCTAGGCAGGTGCGGGGGGGGGTGCGCGCCGCACCGGGTGACACCTACAGCACGGGTGACACCGGATCAGCTCCACGAAAAGGTAAGTTGTAAAGAAAGCCGACGATCCCGCAGGATGGATCGGATCTGCGGATTGAGCATAATGGATCAGAGTCCGATCCATTATGCTCCCTAATCCGCAGATCCGATCCATCCTGCGGGGATCGTCGGTTTTCTTTACAACTTACCTTTTCATGGAGCTGATCCGGTGTCACCCTGTATAGGTTGCATGTCAACGATCCCCGCAGGATGGATCGGAGCTGCGGATTGGGGAGGATAATGGATCGGACTTCAATCCATTATGCTTAATCCACAGATCCGATCCATCCTGCGGGGATTGTCGGCATGCAACCTATACAGGGTGACACCGGACCCGCTCCACGAAAAGGTAAGTTGTAAAGAAAACCGACATTCCCCTCAGGATGGATCGGATCTGCGGATTGAGCATAATGGATCGGAGTCCGATCCATTATGCTCCCCAATCCACAGATCCCATCCATCCTGCAGGGATCGTCGGCATGCAACCTATACAGGGTGACACCGGACCCGCTCCACGAAAAGGTAAGTTGTAAAGAAAGCCGACGATCCCCGCAGGATGGATCGGATCTGTGGATTGGGGAGCATAATGGATCGGATTCTGATCCATTATTCTCAATCTGCAGATTGGGCAGGGGCAGACTGACAACTCATGGGGCCCCCGGGCAATAGGGGATCATGGGGCCCCTGTGTCCTTGCCCAAACTCAAAAAAGCCTATGAAAAAGGTACCAGGGGCATCTCATGGGCCCCCTACTGACTCCGGGCCCTCAGGCAGTGCCCGAGTTTCCAAATGGTCAGTCCGCCCCTGCACGAGACCAATACATGGAAAGGAGATCGACTTTACAAGCTTGTTAAACCTTTTATAGTGGGGGAAGCGCAGCTCGAGGAATGCCTGTTAAACTCATCAGCGAACAGTTGATGACGTCGGTGGATTACCGCCGGCTGCCCGTTACGCTTCTATTACAACCGGTTATTCGGTGAATTCGGATTCCAGCATGGCAATGACATGACAATCCGCATGAGTAACCTTATTGTAGCTTGGGAGAGGGGCGCCCTCTGGCGGCTGCTCAAAGCTGACAGGGGACTCCTCCGACTCGCTGGCACACGCCTGAAGGCCCGGACTGCTGGGTGTTGAGGGGGGGCTGGTGAACGGAGAGGCCATGACTTTGAGACCGGGGCTCTTCGGAGACGCTCCTGGGAGGAAATGCGCTGGAGCGAACGCCAAGTTACCCTGGAAAATAAAGAATAAATACGATCAGTATTAGATCAATGAATTCCACATATACAGGGGATAATGCATCTCCCCAATGTAAATTATACTCTTATGGTGGCCATACAAGATTCACCAAATGATCATTTTTCTTTCCTTTTATTCTCTTCCAATAAGAATATTTGATCTATAGCCCCACTTTCATGTATTTTTTTATGTCTTGTATTGAGGTTATCATTTTTTGTAGCAGGCTGATATCTAGTGGCAGTTTTGGGTCACTGCAACTTGTTTACTACTGTGAATTTGGTATCTTCCTCTGTCCTCCCCTCCTGTTTACAGCTCGTTAGTTTTGACTTAGCTACATAGTTACATAGTTAGTCTGGTTGAAAAAAAGACACAAGTCCCTCCAGTTCAATCCACTAAACACAACTGCGCAACACAAAACAACTATGCAATAACAGACCCTCCCCTGCTGTTTTGTGTTAGTTTAGTCCTAGCTTGACCCTCCCCACTTATTCCATGCTACTCTGTCAGTGTTAGAAGTTCACAAAGACAGGGCTTAAAGTGTTACTAAACCCACAACTACTAAAATCAGTCTGTATATGCAGTAAAGCATGCTTGTTATACTGAACGAGGAAAGAACAAAGAGAGGGCGCACAGGCCTAATGCATTACCATTAAAAATGTTTTATAAGAAATAAAATAGGTGTTGTACTCACAAACGAGAATAAAGTCAAGGCACATCATAAAAGAACAGCTGGGTCAACACCGCGCTGAGTAACAGTTCGCAATGGGGAGTGTAGACATCCAATAGGCTGACACGTTTCGAGGACTTGCCTCTTCCTCAGACAATGCATTCAATAAAGTGAATAATGGTGTATAAAGTGACAAAAAGTCCACATAAATAAGTAAACGTGAAGTCCTAATAGCTCTCAGGTAAGGAGTGATCCCTTTCTGAATCTTCTGGTGAAAATCAAATAATAGAATTGAGCACTCACCAGATGCGCAATAACATTGCACATTTGAGAACACAATCTCTCAGAAGGTCAGCTGGATCATCTTATAGGGCGTCTACAATCTGGCATGGATTCCTCCCTGGGTAAACCGTGGATAGCAGCAACGTCCTTCTCCTTATCAAAAGACTCTGTGGGTGGTTAGACTCATCAGGAGCCCAAGAAAAGGATACCACATAGCGTGATACTGCTTCAAAGGGTTTATTATCCAGTAACAAGTAACAACAAAGGAGTAAATAACCAGAAACAATTGACCATATGTGCAGGTAAGATGGCTGCTGGACCTGCAAGGGACCTCGGCGGCGTGACGTCACGGCGTTGTAGCTCCTCTCTGACGCGTTTCGTGCTCTAGCACATACTCATAGGGGGTATACATACTTAGGTTAGCATACCCCCTGTCAGGATCCCGGCCGCTCGGAGGTGCGCGCATGCACAGATTGCCGACTCATACTAGCCGGCGAGCGCTGGGACTTGGGTCGCCCAATGAGAGCACAGGGCGACCTATTTAAACCAGCCCTGTGCATCTCAAAATTGCCTTATGGTCTTACTTCCTTGTTCCTGTGTTCCTGTATGCCCTGCGTTCCTGATTGTTTTCTTGCCGACCCAGCCTGATCCTGATACCGTTGCTCTCTCCAGTCCTGACCCTTGGCTCATCCTGACCATTCTCTGCCTGCTCCCAGTGCCTGACCTCCTGTTGCTGAACCCGGCTTGTGACCTGACTATTCGTTGCCTGCCGATCTGTACCGTCTGCTCCGCTGTTACTGACCTCGCTATACCTCTTCACATCTGGCTCCTACCTGCTCTACGCCATTGTCGGTTGCCTTTACCACAGCTGGTGTTACTCGGGGGTCGCGACCTTGTCTCAGGCTGCTTCAAGTCCATCCCCACCATCAGGGGCTCTGGTGAACCAGGAGACTGAGGCTTAGACTCCGCGCCCTGAGGGACTCCGGCCAGTGGGCCACTAGAGGCTACCGTCAGTCGGCGCGTGACACCCCCTATGAGTATGTGCTAGAGCACGAAACGCGTCAGAGAGGAGCTACAACGCCGTGACGTCACGTCGCTGAGGCCCCTTGCAGGTCCGGCGGCCATCTTACCTGCACATATGGTCAGTTGTTTCTGGTTGTTTACTCCTTTGTTGTTACCTGTTACTGGATAATAAACCCTTTGAAGCAGTATCACGCTATGTGGCATCCTTTTCTTGGGCTCTTGATGAGACTAACCACCCACAGAGTCTTTTGACAAGGAGAAGGACATTGCTGCTATCCTACGGTTTACCCAGGGATAAATCCATGCCAGATTGTAGACGCCCTATAAGATGATCCAGCTGACCTGAGAGATTGTGTTCTCAAATGCGTAATGTTATTGCGCATCTGGTGAGTGCGCAATTATATTATTTGATTTTCACCAGAAGATTCAGAAAGGGATCACTCCTTACCTGAGATGTTGTATTAGGACTTCACGTCTACTTATTTATGTGGACTTTTTGGCACTTTATACACCATTATTCACTTTATTGAATGCATTGTCACTTTATATCATTATTATGATTTTGGTCACCTTAATTCAGCACTATCTTCACTTTATATTTATGGACTAAGAATGATTCATATTGCTGGATAATTTTTCCAATTTTACACGATATTCATAATATGTTAGCGCTGCACCTATTTTTGATATATTGATCTTGGGAGGCTATTCGGTACCTTTTTTGGTGTCACAGCTGCTCAAACTATAGCGCTCACTTCTGTGTTATATGCGCAGACTGATTTTACTGTTGTGGGTTTAGTAACAAATGATCCGAAACTCCCATTTGCAACTATGCATTAGGAGCTTTCCGTGACACTTTAGTTACTCTGCTGGCAGCGTGCAGTGAGGACACTAAAAGCACAGAAAACCGATCCCTATGGACGCATATATACAGCAGCTCAGCGTTAAAGCCCAACTGGCGAGAGGCCGTCTGGAACAGGTTGAGATATGATGGAAGTTATTGCTTGCAGCTGCATTTTCTACCAGGCAGTGTGGGAGAGCTTTACAACATAAGGGCAGACAGTACAATTACAATACAGGAGGAATCAGAGGGCCCTGGACATTAGAGCTTACAATCTAAGAATTCATTCAAACCAATGCTACTGCTTACAGCTATGCTATTATTTCTGCTTCCCTATTTACTTCTACAAATATTGCTACTTACTACCTCTACTTACTAAATTTACAACATGCTACTACATTCAAAGATCAATCATTTATGAATGCAGCGATAATTCGTTCAGTTAGTAGCGCCACTTTATAAAAAAGCATTGCTTCTGTTACTCAGGTATAATAATCGTTGTCCATTAGAGGGCGCTATTATACAATGATACCTGGACAGGAAATAGTTACATTGTAACAAATACAACTATGCAATATTCTGTATTATTATGATTATTATTAGTGATCTATTGATTATTATCATGCAGGCTCCACCTCCGCAACATCTCCAAGATACGTACGTTCCTCACCCCAGACACTACTAAACAACTCATACACTCCCTTATTATCTCACGTCTGGACTACTGCAACTCCCTCCTCACCGGCCTACCCCAACACAGGCTATCCCCGCTTCAGTCTATCCTGAACTCAGCGGCCAGACTCATCCACCTCACCAACCGCTCCGATTCTGCCACCCCTCTCTGCCAATCCCTTCACTGGCTCCCGATTGCCCAACGCATTAAATTTAAACTACTAACACAGACATACAAAGCCATTCATAATGCTGCCCCAAACTACTTCACTGACCTGATACCCAAATACCACCCAACCCGTACTGTTCGCTCCTCACAAGACCTCCTGCTCTCTAGCTCCCTGGTCTCCTCCTCCCACGCGCGACTGCAGGACTTCTCCAGGTCTTCCCCCATCCTCTGGAGCTCCCTACCCCAATCCATCAGACTGTCACCTACCCTCCTCACCTTCAGGCGCACCCTGAAAACCCATCTCTTCAGGGAAGCCTACCCCACCCTCACCTAACAGCCGATCTCCTCCACTCCTCCTACCACTCCATCCCCCACAGCCACTTCCTCCTGTACCTCTACCCAGGGGCGGACTGACCATTTGGAAACTCGGGCACTGCCTGAGGGCCCGGGGTCAGTAGGGGGCCCCATGAGATGCCCCTGGTACCTTTTTCATAGGCTTTTTTGAGTTTGGGCAAGGACACAGGGGCCCCATGATCCCCTATTGCCCGGGGGCCCCATGAGTTGTCAGTCCGCCCCTGCCTCTAACCCCTCCCTCTTAGATTGTAAGCTTGAAAGAGCAGGGGCCCTTGAACCCCTCGTGTATTGTATTGTTACTGTCTTGTCTCATGTACTGTCCCCCACTTTAATGTACAGCGCTGAGAAAACCATTTGGCGCTATATAAACACTGTATAATAATAATAATAATAAAATTATTATCATCAATTATTGAAAACTAATACTACTGCTTACTGTAATGCTATTATTGCAGCTTCTGGTTTACAGCTACAAGTATTGCTTCTTGCTACCTCTACTTACTAAATTTACTATATGCTACTACATCCAAATATCAATCATTTATTCATACAATTAGTTTGGGTAGTAGCAGCGCTTTGTAAGAAAGCATTGCTTCTTTTACTGGGGTATATTAATGTTTGTCCATTAGAGGGCGCTATTATACAATGATAACTGAACAGGAAATAGTTTCATTGTAACAAATACAACAACTATGTAACATGCAATAATCTATTCTTAGGGCTCATGTACACTGCAGCTGATAAACTGACGTTCAGGATCTGTTCAGCGGTTTTTTTTTCAGCAGCCCCTGAACTGTCCCTAATGTTTTCCTATGTGTCCATGTACACATCATCGTTTAATGTCGTTTACAGGCAGTCGAGTTTACAGTCATTTTTTTGAACGCACCAAACTTGTGTTCAGGAGTAGATTTTACTGGCGTTTCAAATGCCAAACGCTTGTAAACACAGTTAACCACGTTTATAAGCATTTGCGTTTAGAAGCGTTTTTTTAACTGTTCCATGTCCAGATGCTGTCCAGAGCCTTTTTTCATCATCAGAAATGTATGCAAAGCGTTTTCCATGTATTCAAATGGACCCGGTACAGCAGCGCAGTCAGTTCCAGGTTTTGCGTGAAGGAAAAAAAGGTAGAACGTGCCGCATTATGCTCATGATGGGATCCATAGTGAATACAACCAGAAAAGACAGGCCATCTCAACACATACTGCTCTCTCTGCTTCTGCTCTCTCTATTTCTCTTAAAATGTCTGAAATAGTAAATTTTTTTACTATTTTTCAGTGCATTCTGGGCATTTGGGAAGGTCTCCTGTGGTTATCTTTAAAAAACACTTCTAAACGCAAACGTGCATAAACGCGGTATGCAAACGCGGCAAAACTGACTTTTTTTAACCTACGTTTTCCAGCAGTCAGTTTCCATCATTCAGAAGTGTTTCCCAAACACCCCGTGTACATGAGCCCTTATGTGTAAACTATTGATACTATTATCATCACATTAACCATTACATTGGAGGTATGGGGGTGGGGTTCCTGCTCCTGATTGCTAATGGGAATGATGAGTTATACACCCACATGGAAGAAAAATATATTTTAAATATATTTGAAAAATACTCTTCCCAAATATATTGACATATATTTGAAATACTACAATTTTGGCCATACACACCACACACACACACACACACACATGTTGCGTTCTTTAAATATTACAAAATCTATGAAAAATATTTTTCAAAATATATATTTTTAAAATATATTCTTCAGATTTTTTTTTAACATATAAAACAGTCATTTTAACATAAATTTGTAAATGCATTCTAAAAATGTAGATTAAATGTATTTTAAAGACATACAGCATATTTGAATTTTTTTTTTTTTTTTATATTTTTCAGACATTTTGTAATATATAAAAAATGCATTTCAACATAATATATATTATATATATATATATATATATATATGTATATTGAATTATATTGAATACAACCAAATTTGCAGTATTTCAAATATGTGTCAATATATTTGGGAAGAATATTTTTAAAATATATTTAAAAATATATTTTTCTTCCATGTGGGTAGTACCTTATGTAGGCCATACATTGGTCAATTTCTAAACTAACTTTCTTTAGAAAATCTGAAATTTTGTGCGTTTTGTAATCCGATGGTCCAACCCAGGGGCAGACTGACCATTGGGGAACTTGGGCACCGCCCGAGGGCCCAGGGTCAGTAGGGGGCCCCATGAGATGCCCCTGGTACATTTCATAGGCTTTTTTGGGTGTGGTTTGAGTGTGGGCAAGGACACAGGGGCCCCATGATCCCCTATTGCCCAGGGGCCCCATGAGTTGTCAGTCCGCCCCTGGTTCAACCATTGATTTAGAAATTCAGCCAACCAAGCCTTCAATATCATGAAGAATGTTCGTAGCCGGGAATCTTCTCTTTCCAGCTTCCATGCTTATTTCTTTTTCGAATACAATTCTCGCACGATCCTCCCATCATTGATTAAAAATGATGTTCATAAAATTTCCAGCATGCCTGATCACTCAAATTCGATGGCTGTATGAAAATCGGCCAATGCTGTGGCCCACTATGATTTTGAAGGAAATTGGTTCAGAATATACCCCATGTATGGTCGGCTTTAAGTCCTGCATTGATGGGCTTTGAGTTTGTGCTGCCAGAAGTGATTTGACATCAGTTTGTGACACTTCTGAGATCATTCAAAATTCACTGACGGGTGCATTTGACCTGCAGTTAACCTCCATGTGACCTACAGTTGTCTTGCTTCTGACCTGCATTTGACTCGCTTTATTACTCGCTTGAACTTGAGTGATCGGGCATGTTGAAAAGTTTTTGAAAAACAAGCAAATTTCTAATCAATGATGGGAGAATTGTGCAAGAAATATAATCGAAAAAGAAATGAGTGTGAGCTGTGACCTGGAAAGAAAAGAAGATTCCCGGCCATGAAAATTCTTTTCTGTACCACCATGAGGTGAAATTGAAGGCTTGGTTGGTCGAATTGTAAATTCAATGGTGACGCCATCGGATTACAAAAAAACACACAAAATTTCTGATTTTCTAAAGCCAATTAGCTCAGAATTCGACCCATTTATGGCCTGCATTAGAAAGGGTATGTGTTCATGTAGACTTTTATATGTAGACTTTTATATGAATACAAAACTCATCTGAAGCATGGACGCAGGCCCTGTTAGCATGGCTACCTTCACATTTGTTCCAGAAGCAGTATCTCAATTTCCACCCACCTGGAGCTTCTCAATAAGAGGGGAGCTCTTCACCTTGACCTTAGGCATCTGTGTGTGAGGAGGAGACACTTTCTGCAAGAGAAAACCACAAGGTGTAAATATATAAGAAGCCCCAGAACCGACCAATATATAATTACTACAAAGGGCATCATCCCCTTCCTTTATGATCCGTACAGAACACTGTTTGAGGGTCAGTCAACTCTAACCATGGTTAGAGGCAGGGGCGGACTGACCAGGGGTGGACTGACCAGGGGCGGACTGACCATTTGGAAACTCGGGCACTGCCCGAGGGCCAGGGGTCAGTAGGGGGGCCCATGAGATGGATGCCCCTGGTACCTTTTTCATAGGCTTTGAGTTTGGGCAAAGACACAGGAGCCCCTATTGCCCGGGGGCCCCATGAGTTGTCAGTCCGCCCTTGGTTAGAGGTGAAGCTTGGTGGGACGTGTCAGCCCTGGGGATGCATAACTCTTGCACGCTCCAGCAGCGGGATCTCTCCGCCATAAATTTCTGACTGTTGGGGAGAGATTTACTAAAACTAGAGCAGTCAGAATCTGGTGCAGCTGTACATGGTAGCCAATCAGGTTCTAATTTCAGCTTGTTCAATTAAGCTTTGGCAATAAAACCTGGAAGCTGATTGGTTTCTATGCAGAGCTGCACCAGATTTTGCACTCTCCAGTTTTAGTAAATAACCCCCTTGCTGACCATCTTGGAGCTTTGGGTGTTCCCATCCACCTTTGTGTGTTCTATCTATTCCTGCTACATTCTACATAATAGAAGATAAATACAAATCTACAGTAGGCATGGTGGGAACCCCTCATAATAAGCACAGCAGGTGTACCCAGGGAACCCAGCACAGATATCTCACTGATTCCCTAGGAGATAGAGGAGACTGTCAGGTGGTTTAACTCTCTGACATCCACCGAACACTGAAATATCTGTATTAGGTGGACTGAACTTTAATTGGCAACAATAGGGAGGAACAATTAGCCAAGGAAACACCACCATTTTTAAATAGCTACTTAGTTATTTAGTGGTTGTCGATGTGCTTCTGGATAGGTTTGCAGTCTTACATGATTCCGTACAGCCTCCCATTCTGATAGTTACAGAAGGCAGGGCCAGAACCTGGGAGCTCATGGCCTGTAGGTAGGAAGACTCAAAACCTAAAAGATGGACAGGGGCAGAATCAGGAATTCAGGTCAAACACCTGAAATCCTCAAAAGAAATAAAAGCAGCTGATTCAACTCTACCTGGAACTCAGATATTAGTTTTGGGTTGACCAAACTGTTAACGTAGGTGACTGTCATGCCAGTAGATGTTGGCATAATGTATGGTACGAATTCCATCACTAAGGTCATGGCTTCCTGGAGATCAAACAAGTCCATTGGCTATTTTTATATGTAGATGGGTAATGCAGTGCGCATCCAGGTTCATTTAGCTTATTTCAGAAATCAGTTTGAGATGATTCTGAGTTCCTTCAGAGTTGCATCTCACCAGAATGTGAGCTCATTCTGACCTGAAGTTGACCTCCTTCTGACCTGAAGTTGACCACCTTCTGACCTGAAGTTGACCACCTTCTGACCTGAAGTTTACCTCCCTCTGATTTGAAGTTGATCTTTTCATGACCTGCAGTTATGTCCTTCTGACCTGAAGTCAACCTCCTTCTTACCTGAAGTTTATCTCCTTCTGACCAGTGGTTGACCTTCTTCTTATCTAAATTCGAACTTCTGTCCTGAATTCAATCTCTTCCTGACCTGTAGTTGACCTGCTTCTGACATGATTTTAATCTTCTTCTGAACTGCAGTTGACCTTCTGATCTGACGTTTATCTTTTTATGACCTGCAGTTACTTCCTTCTGACCGTTAACCTCCTTCTTACCTGAAGTTTATCTCCTTCTGACCAGTGGTTGACCTTCTTATGATCTAAATTCGATCTTCTGTTCTCTAATGCAGCGTAAGCTTCCAGGTTCATTTAGCTTATTTCTGAGGTCAGTTTGAGATGCTTCTGAGTTCCTTCACAGTTGCATTTCCTTCACACCTGCAGTTGAGCTCATTCTGACCTGCAGTTGACTACCTTCTGACCTGAAGTCGATCTCCTTTTAACCTGAAGTTGACCTCCATCTAATCTGAAGTTGATCTTTTTATAACCTGCAGTTACCTCCTTCTGACCTGAAGTTAACCTCCCTCTTACCTGACCCCAGGTTCACACCTAAGGGTTTTCTGCAGCGTTTTGAAGAAACGTAGTACAGTCCATTTAACATGATTTCCTATGGGACAGGTTCACATCTCCGTGTTTTCATCCAGGGCGGTTTGTGGAAAGGGTCAGGGACTTTTTTTTAATGCAAAATGTTGCGTTTTTGGTCCTATAGACTTTAATGGGAACACTGCAGAAAAGCATGTATTGCGTTTTTGCTGCGTTTTGTGTTTAAAATCTGTCTAGCAACAAGAAAAGTTAAAAAAAACGAAGAAAAAAACAAACCACAAAACGCATCAAAAATGCGGCAAAAATGCAAGTGCAAAAACGCAGCACAGAAACGCATCAAATGCAACCTGCATAGGTGTGAATCTAGACTGAAGTTTATTTCGTCCTGAGCAGTGGTTGACCTTCTTATGATTAAATGCTAAATTCTGTCCTGTATTCATTCTCCTTCTCACCTGTAGTTGACCTCCTTCTGACTTAAGGTTAATCTCCTTCTGACCTGCTGTTGACCTCTTTCTGACCTGCAATTGACCTCCTTCACACCTGAATTTGATCTTTTCTCCTGAGCTTGACCTCCTTTCAACCTGCAGTTGACCTCCTTCTGATCTGCAGTTGACCGCCTTCTGGCCTACAGTTGAACTCCTAAGCTGCATCAAGCTGCTTTAAGCTACTTTTGCATTCCCATTGACTCTGACCCCTTGAGGCGGTCCCATTGGATGAAACGCGTCAGGGTGGAGCCTGTGCTGACATCATCACGCACTCCGGAGTAATCGGCGGTGCTGTAGATTTGTGATATGCTTGTAACATGCTGCTAAATGTTAGTAGATATACAATATGAACATTCATTAAAGTCATCAGGTTTACACTATAGGATGCTGTTTTATTTCTCTTGCTGGACTGATGTGAGTGGCACAGGAGAGGTATTTATACAGAGTCCCTGTTGTTGTGCCTTGTGGTTCCCATGTCCTAAGAAACACCTTGTGGTCCTTGCTGCTATGCCCTGTGATTCCTGGGCATCAGGAGACATCTTATGGAGATAGATCTTTTATATAGAGCACAAACGAACAATCTATAATCTGGGGTCTGTGTATTTTGAGAAGAAGCTGTATGTGGCAGTGGTGTTGGAACTCACTGGGCGAATTTGAATCTCACTTGGATAAACTTTTATATTCAATACTGAGTAAATATGTTAGTCTTTGGGTGATTATTTTTATGGTTATTTATTTATTTTTACACTTTTTGATTCATTTACAGATGCAGTGCAACAATATTGGAATATAATTCCTTTTGACTTGTATGGGGGAAGAAGCAGTTCTAATGAGAAAAACCATATTCACAGGTCCATATGCTTTTAGATGGGAACTTACCTCTTCGCCATTGTTGGTGGCCTCAGGTTTAAGTAAGGGCAGTGAACAGGGAGGTTTCTTTCTTGTTGGTTTGTGTGGTGGAGCCTGAGAAGGGACATAAAAACACAGAGATTATGTTATGGAAAACATCACTAGTATAATTGTGGGAGGGAGTAGTGCTAATTTGCCCAGTGTACACCAGATAGGATAGGTAAGGTGAACCTCTAAGGGTTTGCTATCTGTGTACTATACACACAGACACCAAAAGGAGACTAGAAGTACCTATACAATTCTCAGAATTCCACATATACAGTTGTGTTCAAAATAATAGCAGTCAGACATCACTAACCGGATCAATCACTGTTTTTGGTAGAAATGATATTTCTACATGGCAAATAATTTCCTAGCAGGTGTAGTAGAGTAATAGAAATCCAACAGACCCAACAGTCATGACATGCATGCTGCTGATTCTGTGTCATTGAATCACTAATTGAAAGGGGCGTGTTCAAAATAATAGCAGTGTGGAGTTCTATTAGTGAGGTCATTCATTCTTTGAAAAACAGGTGGCAATTATTGCCCTTATTTAAGGAAGGAAGGCAGCAAATGTTGTACATGCTGGTTACAGTGCATTTCTCTCTGAAATTCTGAGGAAAATGAGTCATCCCAGACATTGTTCAGAAGAACAGCGTACCTTGATTAAAAAGTTGATTGGAGAGGGGAAAACATATAAAGAAGTGCAGAAAATGATCGGCTGCTCAGCTAAAATGATTGCAAATGCTTTAAAATGGCAACTAAAACCTGAAAGACGTGGAAGAAAGCGAAAAACTACCATTGGAATGGATAGAAGAATAGCCAAAATGGCGCGGACTCAGCCAACAATCAGCTCCAGGAAGATGAAAGAAGGTGTGACGTTCCCTGTGAGGACTGTTACAATTAGAAGACGCCTATGTGAAGCCAAGCTATCTGCAAGAAGTCCCCGCAAAGTCCCACTGTTGAAAAAAAGACATGTGCTGAAGAGGTTACAATTTGCCAAAGAGCACATTGACTGGCCTAAAGAGAAATGGCGCAACATTTTGTGGACTGATGAAAGTAAGATTGTTCTTTTTGGGTCTAGTGGGCGGAGACAGTTTGTCAGACGACCCCCAAACACTGAATTCAAGCCACAGTACACTGTGAAGACAGTGAAGCATGGTGGTGCAAGCATCATGATATGAGGATGTTTCTCATACTACGGTGTTGGGCCTATTTATCGCATACCAGGGATCATGGATCAGTTTGAATACATCAGAATACTTGAAGAGGTCATGCTGCCTTATGCTGAAGAGGAAATGCCCTTGAAATGGGTGTTCCAACAAGACAACGACCCCAAACACACCAGTAAACGTGCAACATCTTGGTTCCAGACCAACAAGATTGACGTTATGGAGTGGCCAGCCCAATCCCCGGATCTTCACCCAATAGAAAAAACTTGTGGGGTGACATCAAAAATGCAGTTTCTGAGGCAAAACCAAGAAATAGAGAAGAACTGTGGAATGTAGTCCAATCATCCTGGGCTGGAATACCTGATCACAGGGGCCAGAAGTTGGGTGACTCCATGCAACACAGATGTACAGCAGTTCTCAGAAACAGTGCGACTACAACCAAATATTCATTAAGTCATTCAAAGGAAAGCAAAATCTTCAAACATTTTTCAGTTTATATAGTGAATGTTTGAGTTTGTAAAGAAGAATACAAACACTGCGATTTTTTTGAACCATCTAATATTCACTTTTCTTCCATTTTGTTTAGAGGAACAACACAAATTTGATCTATTTTTCTTCATGTTTTGATTTGGAATAGAATGTGTCGTGTTCCCAATGCATTTGTGTGGATGGAAATAAAAGCTATTAGAAGGATTTTCAGCTTTATTCACTTTTTTCAACACACTGAAAACAACTGTATATCATTTACTGATGTCCTCATGACATATAAATGTATGATTCAGTTTTTTACAATCACCCAATTCTGAAACTTTAGTTTTTGGGTAGAGCTGGCCCTTACAGTCCATATTCTGCTATAAAGCACATTTTACCTTCGGTCTTCCACTAGCATCTTGCAAGTGATCACTTCCAAAAGGCCGGAAACAGAAATGAGGAAGGGAGTACAAGTCAGATTGCAACAATTCTGATTCATCAGCGGTGATGTGACCACAAACTGAAGAAGAAAATTTATAACACGTGCTGCTACAGTCAGAGTGTGATGAAGTGATCTTAAAGTGGACCTTACACCTTAGTGTCACGGATCAAACGCATGCCCACAACGACTAGCTAACCAAGGCGTGGTCCGTGACTTGAGGTAAAGAGGGAATGAGAGGGACTTTGAGCACATAAAACTAGCTGTGATACCCTTTCATAGCCCGCACTACCTCTGGCCACCAATAGAGGGAGACTCCACTCCACTCTATCTGGCTGACCACACACAGGCAGATAGGAATCTTATTTACAATCTGGTGCACTCTAAGGGTTGGGGAGCAGCCTAACAATTAGAAAACCCTTCTAGGATTCCTCCAGCTATCCTACAAGCTAGAACCCCGGTGTTAATCACTCTTCCACTGTCCACACACGCCCACACCAGACATACAACAAACGGTAGCTTGCCACCACCCAACAGTTTGTCCGCAGACTGGTCTGCTGGGCCACCACACACACATAGATCTCCATCTGGCAGACCTGCTACTTTACAGTCTGCATGCAATCTGCCAACACACAGTGCAATTGCATACAGATTGGCAATGAACTTAGACCAAGCACATAGACACTACAATACAACAATATCTCCGGAGATATGAGCCCAAGCTTAAGTACCCAGAAGTCACTTATTAATTTTATGATTTAATATACCGAAAGTGGGCAGTGCATAAAATATGTACAAAGAAAAAAGAGTTACAGAAAATACAAAAGGACACACAATTGGCTATTCACTATAAAATAAAAAGGGAATAAAAACAGAAATAAAACTTTTACCAAGATTTACTGTATCCTGCAACTGGAGCAAGTCAATGAAAGTCTGCGATTCGCCAGTCAAATAGAACCGGCTCCGTGCGAATCACACCGTCCATATCTCAGGTTCCTCAATTTATTGAAATATGGATGTGTGTGGACTTTAGCCCCTGGCCAATCAACTCTGGGGGGTGTTCCTGTACCAGCCCTCAGGACGTTCTGGGTTCTGACGTGCCCAATCTCAAATGGGCCAGAAACGGTTTGGATCACTGGGTCAGGAATAGGATTTCGGACATCAGCACGTCAGTCCGATCAGTGTTCAGCTGTCGCAATCACCGTTTTTGTGTGTTTCTCCGGGATTCTACAGAGGCTACAAACACAGTCTTACATGTAGATGGAGACTAAAATGTCTCCAATCAGAAGGAAGTATTTTCATCTCTCTGCAACTTATATTTTAGCTGTTATGAGAGATGAAACAGATTCCTCTATTGGTATAATTCAAAGCTGGCAGACCTTTTCGGAGCCGTCTCTTGATCTCCTGCTGACTCTTGCATAGGAAAGGACTAGGATTCTTCTTTTAGGTTCAAGAAGGTGGCAAGCTCTGGCTACATAGGTGAGAACGTTTTATTGGCATCTAGGTGACAACTCTAGCCTTGAAGCTTGCTCTGTCCTTTCAGATGCTAATTGGTGAACATATGTCTATGACTGATTAAGGAATACTGTATCTCTAATACCACAGGATTAAACTATATCCACATTTCTATACTTCTACAGATCACATCACATCTCAACTACCCTACTCTTACATCTACGTTTCACTTAGTAACATGGTCTGCTTAATCAAGGTGCTTCCTTCTTCCTCCCTAAAAGGCCGGATGAAAAGAACAGCCTGCGGAAGACATCATCCTCCTCCTGGCCAGATTTTGGTCAATGTTAAGTTGGCCATATTTTGAAAAGACAATCCTGCACTGTCCCACACGTCATCTTGCAAGATTTGGTCTATAGGGGCATTCCCAGGATCTTGTAGGAGAATGACTTGCCCTCTTCAGTAAAAAGGTATAATTATTTTTTTAGATATATATAAAAATGGCACGGAAATGGCCTGCATTCATAGCAAGGGCATTATTCAACTTTAGTTAAAGGTGCACAGCTTGTTGTTATCTACAGATGCCCCTTACCTGCCTAGGCAATTTTTTGGTAAAGGTGAAATAATCCTTTAAGTTCCTGTCAGGTTTGTATTTTTGACCTCCATTAGTAAATTCCTGTTCTTGTCACACCCATACCGGAAATGAGAGTTTTTTGTCTGGGTCCCCGTTGGAGAGATTTCCCATCACTTCCTGTTCTGACATTGATGTGTTTGATCTGGATCAGTTACTGTGATAGTACTGAAGCCAAAGACTTCTAGGAACTAGTATTTTTTAGGAGACCAGCAATGGCTACTCATGTGTACTCTATGGGCAGGAGTTTATGGACACCTGACCATCACATCTCTATGGACTTGTTGGACATCCCATTCCAGAACCATGGTAATTAATATGGAGATGGCCCCTCTTTGTGGCTATATACCATTCACTCTTTCAAGAAGGCTTTCCATAAAGTAGTGGATTGTTTTTGTGGGAATTTGTGCCCATTCAGCATTTATGAGGCCAGGTACTAATGTTGGATGAGAAGATCTGGCTTGCAATCCATCTTCCATTTCATCCCCAAGGTGTTCAGTAGGGTTGAGGTCAGGGTTCTGTGAAGGCCACAGAACTTCCTCACCACACCAACCTGGTAAAACTATGTCTTTATGGATGGTGATCAGTAGGGTTGTGGTCAAATCACTGTGCAGGTCACTCACGTTCCTTCACACCAAACCCATCAGACCATGTCTTTATGGAGCTGGCTTTGTACACAGGGGTACAGTCATGCTGAAACAGAAAACAGCCTTCTCAGAATTTGGTCATATAATAAGTCAGGAGGTCCATATCGTGTTTTTCTCTGCTGACAATTTTAATCTAAGTACAGGTACTCTTTAAACTGATGTATTGCCCCACCCAATTAAACACTCATTCTCCAGTCATCATTTACCATTGCTGGCTTCAGTAATTGGTGGCCACAGAGCAAAAGGAATAGTTCTCTGCTGTGCAAATACAGAAATTGCTGATTTCCAGGTCTGGTATGGATACAGTGGAGTGCAAAACAGAATTCACTGCATCAATTCTGGTTACTATAGGAGAACCTATTGGAGTACGTTTAGTCACCTCTTTCCTGGGGCTGTTGACCTTGTCACCAAATAATCCAGCAAGTTTAGCAACAGATGGTGGTGCTGCTTCTTCAGCTGGGCTGCTCTCCCCTGACTGCCCCTAAAAAAAAAAAAAAATACATGACAAATATATACTGGTTAAAAAACATTTACATTCTTGCTCTAGAGTACATTAAAGTGTATCTAAACACCAACACTTATTTTTTAGTTTTTGGACAGAGTAGGTTTTAAACCATTTACTTCCTGTCCTGGAGACACAACAGGAAGTACGAGAAAAATCTCACTAAAGTGGTGGGAAAAAGCTTTTGCCTGGAGGTTGCCATGAGAACAGCTCAGCCATGAGAATGAATGGAACCACAGCATGCTTACCAGCGGAACGTTTGCAGTGAACTGGCTGTGTGGCTCTTGGCAGGGCCACACAGAGAAGATCACTAGAATAAAGTGACTCTTATGGTGCCTTTATATTACTTCCCTTTCTTAATTGTTATCATCTCTTGCTTTTACATAATTTACCTCCCTTACTTGGTATCTTCTGGTTCCTTTACACATCTTCCTATCCTTACTTGGTCTCCTCTGGTGCTTTACGTCCTGTCCTTACGTTATACCTTCTGGTGCCTTTTCTACACCTTCCCTTCTTTACTTGGTCTTCTCTGGTGCCTTTTCACACCTTCCCTTCATTATTTGGTCACCTCTGGTGCCTTTAGGCACCTTCTCTTACATTCTTGGTCTCCTCTGGTGCCTTTATGCACCTTCCCTTCCTTTATGGTTCTCCTCTGGTGCCTTTATGCACCTTAATTTCCATACTTGTTATCCTCCAGTGCCTTTACACTCTTTCCCTCCCTTGCTTGCTCTCTTCTGGTATCTTCACACCCCTTCCCTTCCTATTTGCTGTAAAAGGCTAGCTGTAAGGTCAGACAAGGCACCCCTCCCCACACAGCCATCCGACAATGCACCTAGCAAGGAGACAGCTGCTTTGACAGATAGCACTTTTCTCTGTACCTAAGCACTTGCCTGGAACATTTTAGCTGACAATACCTCCTCTCCCTGCACTTGTCATGAGATGCTTGTCTAGAGCAAGTACTTGGAGGTGGAAAAAAGTGCCATCTGTCAAAGCAGCTGTCTCCTTGCTAGATGCGTTGTTGGACAGCAGTGGAGATAGGAGGGGTGCCCTGTTTGATCTCAGAGTTAGCCAGCCAGCACATAGGAAGTGGTGCTGTGGAAGGGGTGTAAAGACACCAGAGTGGACCAGCTAACTAAGGGTAGGTGCATGAAGGCACCAGAGGAGACCAAGTAAGGAAGGAAAGGTGCGTAAAGGCACCAGAGGAGACCAGCTAAGGAAGGGTAGGTGCGTGAAAGGCACCAGAGGAGGCCAAGTAAGGAAGGGAAGGTGTGTAAAGGCATCAGAGGAGATCAACTAAGAAAGGGAAGGTAAGTAAAGGCACCATAGGAGACCAAGTAAGGAAGGGAAGGTGTGTAAAGGCATCAGAGGAGACCAAGTAAGGAAGGAAAGGTGTAGAAAAGGCACCAGAAGGTATCAAGTAAGGACAGGAAGGTGCATAAAGGCACCAGAGGAGACCAAGTAAGGATGGGAAGATGTGTAAAGGCACCAGAGGAGACCAAGTGAAGAAGGGAAGGTGTGTAAAGGCATCAGAGGAGAGCAAGTAAGGAAGGGAAGGTGTGTGAAGGCACTAGAGGAGACCAACTAAGGAAGGGAAGGTGTGTGAAGGCACTAGAGGAGACCAACTAAGGAAATGAAGGTGTGTGAAGGCACTAGAGGAGACCAAGTGAGGAAGGGAAGGTGTGTAAAGGCACCAGAGGAGACCAACTAAGGAAGGGAAGGTGTGTAAAGGCACTAGAGGAGACCAAGTGAGGAAGGAAAGGTGTGTAAAGGCACCAGAGGAGACCAACTAAGGAAGGGAAGGTGTGTAAAGGCACTAGAGGAGACCAAGTGAGGAAGGGAAGGTGTGTAAAGGCACCAGAGGAGACCAACTAAGAAAGGGAAGGTGTATAAAGGCACCAGAGGAGACCAAGTAAGGAAGGGAAGGTGCATAAAGGCACCAAAGGAGAACAAGTAAGGAAGGGAAGGTGTGTAAAGGCACTAGAGGAGACCAAGTGAGGAAGGAAGGTGTGTAAAGGCACTAGAGGAGACCAAGTGAGGAAGGAAGGTGTGTAAAGGCACTAGAGGAGACCAAGTGAGGAAGGGAAGGTGTGTAAAGGCACTAGAGGAGACCAAGTGAGGAAGGGAAGGTGTGTAAAGGCACTAGAGGAGACCAAGTGAGGAAGGGAAGGTGTGTAAAGGCACTAGAGGAGACCAAGTGAGGAAGGGAAGGTGTGTAAAGGCACCAGAGGAGACCAAGTAAGGAAGGAAAGGTGCATAAAAGTACCAAGGGAGAACAAGTAAGGAAGGGAAGGTATGTAAAGGCACCAGAGCAGAGGAGGGGGGCGTGCTTTTCAACTTTACATAAGACAGCACATAGGAAAATGAGACAAAAGACTACATGTACTTTCTCCCCTGGGGAACAGAACCCATTAAGTAAACTGAGACTTTTCTTTAAAAAAAATAATTTAGCCAGCAAATAGTCATAGTGTGTTTTTCAAGTTAACAGAACCATACTGAAGCTGCAAACTTTAAGTCTGGACGTCTTGTCATCAACGATCTTCAAAAATGCTTAAACAGCCATCATCCGATTACCAGTTATAGTGCAGTACACACAATACACATTTCAGACACTTTAGTAAATAAGGAACGACATCTGTTTCCTGTATCCTGCCTCATTGATAAGAGGCCCCATAGAGGTTTTGCGTTAACTTATTTCTGTCCCCAAGAGATTTAATTCCGGCAAACAAAACTTATCTCCCTTTACTTAGTATATAATGGGAAATAGAACAGCTCATCGTGGGAAATTCTCAGAATGCAGGGTTGTCTAAAGCAAGCCGCTCTGCTTTTATTCTGCCGCAGAGAGCTGCGAATTCTCAGACACGTTGTACAGAGGCCTCAGAACTGGTAAACATCAGAGAGAAGTGGGACTGTCATCCCAACTGTGCTAAGGGCCAAAAGGCTGATCTTCACCGCACCAGCAGATGTCACATCCCATCACACAGAATGCTAGGCAGCAAGGAGACAAAATCATTGTTACAGGAAACTAAAGCAATCTTGTCTTCATTTTTTTATCACGTTCAGTATCTTAGTAGATAATTGTTCTTACGGCCCACAACAGCCAATGAGATTCTTCCTTTCACCTGTAAATTTCCCCTTATAACAATGACAGTTGACTTGAGACCCGGTCACCAGAAATTCTGCAGAACTCTAGGGATGACATTAAATTCTACCTGGAACGAGCTTTTTCAAGCAGGTTTGTGGGAATCAGAATATCAACTTCTGATTGCCCGATAGCTGCAGTCAGGCCTCTGCTGACAAAGTGATTCAACGCGGATCATGAGTCAGAAGCTATGCCTATGTGAATAGGGGGCCCACTTTAAAAAACTGGAGGTGCCGATTCAGGCTCCTTTGTCCCAATTTGGTGGCTCGCACTGTTGGTGCTGGCTGTGGAGAGTTCCTCCTGGCTTAGTACACTATATATAAAAAAAAAAAAGCAAAAAACGAATGCCGCACACCAATGCGCCTGACCGTTCAGGTCACCCCCCCCCTGATGCGTTTCACCCCTGCCCATGATCAAGCCCTATGGCAGTGGTTCTCAACCTGTGGGTCGTGACCCCTTTGGGGGTCAAACGAGCCTTTCACAGGGGTCACCTAAGACCATCGGAAAACACATATTTCCGATGTGTAAAGAGCAGCTACTGTGTAGAAAGCAGCTACTGTGTAGAAAGCAGCTACTCTGTTAAAAGCAGGTACTGTGTTGAAAGAAGCAGTATTGGAGGTAAAACGACACTTCATGAATTATAATTACTGGATAAATAATTTTATGGTTGGGGGTCACCACAACATGAGGAACTGTATTAAAGGGTCGCGGCATTAGGAAGGTTGAGAATCACTGCCCTATGGTCAGGGCAAAACGCGTTGGTAATGTGGCCTGAATAGAGTTTGGCTGAGGCTACTTTCATTCCAGTGACTGTCGGGCAAGTCGATGTGCGACATTTGGGATACATTTTTTGCTAGATTTATGTGAAAGGGGCCTTATGGTCCAACGTTCCTGCCATGGGCGCAAATACACGTTGTCCAATGATATTTGAAAATTACAGTCATATGTTAAAATATCCTTATCTTTGTGCTAAACCTTTATGAATTGATCCTACTGTGTGTGTGTAAGAGCAAAGGGCAAAGGAACTGACTGCTATGGGGCCTGGTGGTGGAAGGGGGCCCTATTAACAGAGCATTTAAGGTTATTAAAAGCTGAATTCTACTGCAAGGGTTAAATGCTTGTTTATTCTAAAGACACATGAATAAGGTGTAAAGCTAGGTTGGGAACGCACACAAAATCGCACGACATGCCTGACATGCACAAAAAATGCACTGCTCTTTAGCAGATGCACATAGTGCCACAAAAATACAATGATTAAAAAAAAAAAAAAACACAGTATATACCCCAATTTTTTTGTAAAATATGACAGAGGATGTTACGGTGAGTAAATAGATACCCAACATGTCACGCTTTAAAATTGCGCATGCTCGTGGAATGGCGTGAAACTGCAGTACTTAAAAATCTCCATGGGTGACGCTTTAAAAAGTTCTACAGGTTACCAGTGTAAAGTTACAGAGGAGGTCTAGTGTGAGAAATATTGTTCTTGTTCTGACGTTCGAGGCGATACCTCACATGTGTGGTTTGAACACCGTTTACATATGTGGGCATGGCCTACGTATTCTTTCAAAACTACGTGCAAGCACGGGGATACGGGGGCACTTTAAACTTTTTTTTATTTATTTAATGTGTTTTTTTTTTTTTTGCACTGTCCCTTTAAAAAAATAATCCCTTTTATTTCTATCACAAGGAATGCATGCATCCCTTGTGATAGAAATCATTTGTGACAGGTCCTCTTTATGGAGAGATATGGGGTCAATAAGACACATTTCTCTCCTACAAAGCGTACAAAAGGAAAGAATTTATCTAAAATCTGTGCTTTTAAAAAAAAAAAATGGACCCA